CCTCTGTCCCTTACACAGGTTTGGGGGAAGCACCACATCCTCCCTATGGCCACACTGGCTCACATACTTCCCGGTCCAGGGTGCTGACCCCGGACACACAAGGGGGTCCAAGGACTAGGACAGGAAGGTTCCAGAGGCCGGCACAGGGCTGAGTCATTTCTGGATCTTTGATGCCCGACACAAAGTATCGCTGGTGGACGCTTGGTTCCCTGCCTTTACAGGCTACACCAGGACAGACTTGCTAGTCCGGAGAAGCCACGGAGAGCCCTGCTGTTCCACCGTCACTGGGCACCAGGTCACGCCCAGCTGCGACTGGAGCCCAGCTGTTTACAGGGGAGGGGAGAGCAGGCAGAGCACGAGCCAGGAGGAAGATGTCCCTGACCGAAGCTCGTGGGCCCTGCCTCGCAGCACCCTGGACCTGGAGACCACATGCTCTGCACGCCAGGAGCACCCTCCGTCTCCAGGTCGAGCACCCACCGCAGGCGCCTGTTACATGGAGCTGTCTCGTAAACATCATTTGTGTCGCACAATATGAAGTAATTTCCCTGCCCGCTGAGAACTCTATTGGTATTTCATAAAATCACCCTCTTCTGTATACCTAATAAGCGAAAGTTCTCCTTTTCCTTCAGGCCCGTGTGCTTTGAGCTCATGTCTTGTCACTATCCTGATTTGCCCGGGTTTGAAGAAGACTGGAGAAGCCTCCAGAGGCTTAGGTTAGATCTTGAGGGGATCGGCACCCCAAACAGGAGTGGACCCCCTTAGATCTGATCGTCTGTAGGGCCTATTCACGGGCAGGCACTGATGACCTCTAAAATCTCCATCCAGGCACCACAGGATGTGGATTCTGCCTCTGCCTGTGCCCCCAGGGCTTGAGCCGGGCACCTTCCCTGGGCCCCACCTCCCGCCTGCCTGCTGGACAGCGGTCTCTCCCCTCCAGGAACTGGGCCCCCGCTGTTTCCTCTTCCTCTCTCCTGGCTCCTCCACTACCACCTGTGGCCCAGTGGTGGCGAACCTATGGCACATGTGTTGTTTTTTCCAAACTAAAACACTGTTGGTGCTTTGTGCTGAACGAGTGGGTTCGGGGTGCCGTTCGGGTGCCCGTCTCTGACAGGTCCACCGTCTGTTGGACTTCCTCCACTCACAGCCTCTTACAGGAGTGGCCTGCAGAGGGCCTGGAGCGGGGACAAGCACATGCCCTGGCTCGCTGCGCCCCCCTTCCCGAAGCTCCTCCTCAGGCTCCTGGGGTCCTCTTCCTCCACTCACGCTCACGGCCCCCACAGTCTGTCCTGCATTTCCAGCCGCACCACTGCCCGGGCACATGGAAGCTCCCCAACCCCAACTCAGCACAGACCCTTCCCTCCCACCCGGGCTCCTGCTGTGGCTTTGGTGTGAACGAGTGGTTCTCTCGCAACTAAGTCACCAAGCAACGGGCAGACTCTTCTCTCCGCCTGAGACAGCTGTCCTAAGTGCTCCTCCTGTCCCTCAGTTGTTCGGCGCCTCTCCAGAGCAGCCCTTGGCCTGTCCGGGTTAACACTTTCCTCGGTTCCCGCACAGCCGCCGTCACCGGGCTGTGGCCTCGTGCTTCTAGATTCTTGTACTGCTGGCAGCCAGCCCCGTGCAAAACGCCGGTCTGGTCCCCTTTTCCACCCGGACGCCTCTCAGTTCCCACCGCTTTGCAAAGCCCCTCACCCAGGCGAACAAGCCCCCAGCGGCCTCGGCCCTGCAGAGCAGACCCGCCCCACTGCCAGGACCTTGTCTGAAGCACACTGGTCCACTCTGCAGCTCCCTTGTCACAGCCTCTGTCTGGAGACCCTGCCGGGCAGCCAGACCTGGTCCAAGCAGAGGCATTTTGCGTATGCTCTCGAACTGGCTCTCTGCTGCAGCCCTTGGCCACAGGAGCGGTACCAGGCCCCATTTCCCAGAACACAGAAACTGAGAGGGTTTAAGGGACTTTCCGAAGGCTGCCACACCCACGGAAACCGGACAGAGAGCAGGACTGAAATGAGGCAGCTGCTCTGGAGATGCCCGGGTGGCACCAATTAGAGCCATGGGGGTCACCGGGGTTGGGGGCTTGGAGAAGCAAGAATATTTCAGGGTTTGCAGCCTAGAGAGCTGGGTGCTGGTCTCAGGCTCTGCACAAAGTACAACCTCATTAAACACAGGATAAACAGCGCAGAGCACTGACCAGGCGGGCTGGTCATCAGAGCAGGTGCAGAGGGAGCAGGGGGAGTAAGAACACTTCAGGCTTTACACACTGAGCTGGGGATGTGGGACAGCATCAGGAACCCGAGTCTTCCTCCTGGGGAGAGGAGGCTGGAACCGCCACTCTGGGAGTGTGGGTGACAGCAACACCGTGGGAGTGAACAGCCTCCAAGGCAGGGCACGACTTTCAAAGTTTTAGTAAATAAACCAATTGCATTGTTTTGTGCTCATTTCTTACCAGGACACAGTCTTCAAATGCTGTGCTCCAGGAGAAGAGGAGAGTGAGGCAAGAGAAAGTCTCAGTTGCTCTCACTGCCGAGAGACACCACAGCTTTGAGGATGGCCAGTTTTTCTGGCTCAGGTTTAGCCCCCAGTCAGCTGGGCCCAGGCAGGACGCGGAGAGCCTTGTGGAGGAAGACTGCTCACAGCGTGGCTGACGGGAAGCAGAGAGGCAGGGAGAGGCGGGGAGGCCACACACCCTGGCCTCTCGGCTGAGCCTGAGGCCTCAGAACCGTCAGCCTCCAAAGGTCCCAGCTGCGGCCAGGTGAGGCTTGGGGGACACCCAGATGCAAACGCAGCAGGGTCACCCTCAAATGACAGAAGTGACCACAGGTGCTTTCTTTCCCTGCTCCAGAGGCAGAACTAGTGCTGAGGGAGAGGCCGGGGCCGTCTCCCCACACAGAAGGTGGGTGTTCTAGGCTCTTGCTGCCCAGCAGAGGGACAGCCTCCCTGACCATGGCGCTCAGAGCCCAGCAGGGTCTTGCCCAGGGTGGGGGTGATGTGTGCAGCTTGCTCCCTCCAAGACTGAAAGGCTGGCAGCGGGACAGGATAAACAGGCAGAGCCCTGGAGGGGTGGCAGGTCCTGAGGTCCCTCCCCCTTGAGTGGGTTAAAGTTCTCATGAGAGCTTCACCCAGAATTCAGTCTTCCTCTTCCAAGGAACCATCTGGGAAGCACAGAGCCACGATCACCAGACCCACGGCTCCTTGACCTTGGACTTCGGTACAAATTTCTACTCTTTACATGTGCCCAGTCTCAGGTGTTTTGTTATAGCAGCAGAAGCTGGCTTAAGGAGAGGGGAGCAGACTGAGTTACCTCTGGCAACCTCCTGGCCCTGAATCTCTGAAGCTTTTAGCCAGAGCTGGCCGGGAGCCACCCCGCAGGGTTCTAGAATTCTTCCCCAACAGCACAAGTCATCTAAACTAACAACACAAAGAAATTCTGGTCTAGAAGGGGCCCCACACACCCTACACTCGCGCCACTCTGAGCATGTGCTAGGGCAGGGCTGGGGCTGCCTGTGACCAGTGGGGATGGGGAAGGGCAGAGAGTGTCCATCCAGCTCCTACTGAAATTTAGCCGTATGACCAGCAAGTGTCATGGGTTGGGGAAGCAGCGAGCATATTCTCCACAAAGCCCAACCTCACCCCCAGGAGGAGACAACCAGGTCCTGTGTTGGCAGAGCTAGCCTGTCCGCAGAGGAATAGCCGCTCCCTCCGCGCTGCTGGGCCACCACACCTGAGCTGGGGCCTAGGACCGAAGAGGCCCAGACTACGGCACACTGACGCCCAGCTGTGCAGCCCAGACGTCTGCCCGTCCGTCGTCTGTCTGTGTGTTTTGCAGGGCCTCGCACACACTAAGCAAGCGCTGCAGCACCAAGCCACACCCCAGCCCCACCAGATGTTTTGAATCCTCCGCCTTTTCGTTCAGAAATGTGCTGCAGACATCTGTGCTTTGTCAGACACCGTGGGTCCCTGGAAACGCAAGATGAATGACAGGATTGTCCGAGGCGGGAGGACACTGAAAACTACAGCCTGGCCGGTGGTGCACACCAGAGCACGCCTCCTCCCGCTGCCAGCTGGCCCCACAGAAGAGCCACAGCTGCAGCGAGAACGGCACAGGAAGGTGGAGGCTGGGCCACGGCTTCCCTCAGTGACGGGGCTGTAGGGAGGCAAGGGACTGGGTCACGGGAGCTGAGAGTGGACGGAGCCAGGCAGAGCAGGAGGGAGCCAACCTCCTGCCAGGACTGGGCAGTTGTGACAGTGACCACTTGACTGGCCTGAGTGGCGTGGGGTGAGGCCCGGCCAGAGAGGAAGTGACCGGAAACGGACCAAAATTTCCATTTCGTGAAACCCCACTGAACTCTACACTGTTCCCAGCTCCCGTGCTGCAAGTGGAGAAACTGAGGCCCAGAGAGGTTGTTATGGGGCTGAGGTCACGCAGGAGGAGGTGTCTAGAGTCACCATTCAAATTGTGAGTGTTGGGCTGAGACTCATGGCCTGGAGGCCAGGGACCGGGTTAAAGGCCACGGTGCTGTCCAGTTCAGGCTCTAGGATGGACGCTGCCTGGCTTCCTCTGGACTCGGCCCTCTGAGCACAGCCTTGGTCCGAACACTGAGAGCTGGGCATCTGGACTAGTGTCCTGTGGTCACCACACACTGAGGCCTGCCAAGGTGACCCCGCATCGAACCCTCTGCAGCCTGCCCGGCCACCTCAGCCTGACTCTTGACCAGAGGTCTCCACTGTGCCACCAAGACACTGGGGAACTAAAAGGCCTGGACCTGCTGGGCATGCTGGCACACTTGGGCCCCACCTCCCGCCTGCCTGTCGGGCAGCAGTCTCTCCTCTCCAGGAACTGGGTCCCCACTGTTTCCTCTTCCTCTCTCCTGGCTCCTCCACACCCGCCTGTGGACCAGTGGTGGCGAACCTGTGCCGTGTTCAGGTTTAACTGCAGTATCGGCGCTTTGCGATGAAGGAGTGGGTTTGGGGTGCTGCTCTATTACTGTGCAGGAGGCGGCACCTACCTGGACTTCCCGCGTGTGATAGGCAACAATCAGTCCCAGCAGGATGACGGTGGACAGGCTGATAAGGCATTTCAGGGCCAGCGAAAACATAGAGTCCTGTGGAGACACAGACGGAGGATCAGGGAAGGCCAGCCAAGGGCATCACACCATCTCCGCGGGGCAACAGCCGACAGCCCGGCCCTCCTGGGGCCACATGGGGCACAGGCTTGGCCAGAAAAGCCCTGGCCGTGCCTGGGCCGGCTGACTCTGAACTCCGCTCAGAGTCTGTTTCCATGGATTAGACCGTGGCTGCACTCACGTGAACCCTGCCTGGCGCGATGCATCACGTTTGCTAGCCCGGCTCCACTCTACTTGCTGATGTTAATTTAGAATTTTTGCCTCCCTACTCATAAGTCATGAGAACATAATTCTTTTTGTGCCACCATTATTTGGTTTAAGCATCTACATTATGCCAGCTCAAGTCTCTGTTTTCTAATAACTGGAAGCAGAGAGTTTCCAAGTCCCTTCCATCTCTGACAATGCAGAGTTCTTTTAGGAATGAGTTGAAACATCCTGGCAGCTGCAGGCATCTCCTGGCATAAGCCAAGGGCAGCAGAGGAGCAACTGGGAGAGGAAGAGGGCCCAGGGCAGGGCAGCACGGGCCCTGGGGTCCCTCCGGACAGGGAAGGGGCCTGGAGAGCCCGTTGCCCTGTGCCCCCAGGAGCCGAGCTCTCGGCCCATACACGGAGTCTAACATCTCACACACCCACCGGGAGCTGTGACCTCGGGCCATCACCCCGTCCCTCAGCGCCCTGTGTGCCAGATGGAATGGCACCATATCCACCTCCTGGGGCTGCTGTGGAAACCACAGGAGCTAGGATGCGGACAGCCCTCGCTGCGTCCCACCGGCCGCCATCACTGCTTGCTTCACAGCATTTGCTTGGGCTTGGGGAGTGGCTCTGCAAGTCTGCAGAAGCTGGCTCCCCGTCCCAAGGAAGACTGGAGCTGGGCCTGAGCAGAGGCAGCAGAGAGACCCAGATGGCACCCCAAGGCCCGTGCCAAGCGGTGCCATGCCCGGTCCTGAGGTCTTAGGTGGCCCTGGCTGCTGCTCAGACCTGTGTGACTTCCGCGATGAGCAGGGTACACAGGTTTTATACCTTTGTTCTTGATTGTCTGCAAACAGCCCTTGCCTCTGTCCCATGATAGACACCATGGTGGAGGCCCAGAGGGGCTTGGGGCTTGGGCCGAAGTCCACACCAGAAGCACTGCCCACGTCCCCGGGCCACTCTTCAGGACACACGTAAGAAGCACACGGGATGTCCTCGGGCAGACCTGGCTGCTCACGGGGACCAACGCCCAGTTATACTGAGCCCAGAGCTAGGGTCAGGTCCGTCTTCTGTGGAACAGCGGCTTTGTTTATAATGATGTATTTTAAAACAACCTAGGAGAGGAAAAGGGTTCCCCGGCATAGAAGTGCGGGGCGTTTGAGGAGACAGAAGTGTTTGTTGCCCTGATGTGATCATTGCTCAGCACGTGTACAGAATCACACGCCATATCCCATAAAGACACACGGATACCACGCATCCATGCAAAGCATTTCAGAGGCAGGGTGAGATTGATTACCGAGTGAGGCCGATCGTGGAGCTGGGACAGCCCTGAGGGAAACGGCCCCACAACGGGCCAGAGAAGGGCTCAGAGGCAGCTATGAGGTGGCTGAGGCCTGCAGCGGAGGGACAGTGTCCAACAGGGCCTCGCTGGAGGAAGAGGAGCCCAGGGACTTGAACCCAGGACCTCCGGTGACCAAGCCCATGAGCTCTTCCACCTGCTGTGGGCTGAGGCAGAATGAAAGCAACTCTCCCTGGTTTCAAACAACGTCACAATTCATTTCCCCGATTCTGTTATTGAAGACCACTTTGTGCCAAGGGCCAGCTAGCCTAGGGACACACGGAAGAATGAATGAGGTAACTCGTTCATTCACTCACGCTTGCGCAATTTCAACCACTTCTCCCTTCCTGAGCACCTACGAGACAGCCAACAGCGTGCTACGTGGGGCTCCTGCAGGCCAGAAGCTTCAGGCCTGGATTACACACCAACACCGGCTCCCTACCCAGCCCAGGGCACCAGCCTAGGTCTGGGGCAGGGGTGGCTCCAAGGTTCAGCGCCCATCTGGCAGGTTGGAGCCTGGGCCTCTCCCTCTGGCCTCTTCCCTGCCTGTGGTCCAGGGCAGAGAGGCCCACGCTCCCTCACTGAGCAGGCACGGCCCACAGTCCCAGCGCCCGAGGCCACTTGCCACCTGCACTGCTTTCCCGAGACTGGGCTGGGTGGGAGAGAGCCCCTGATTTCGGGCACAGCTGCTCCAGGAGAGCTGACCCTCCCTGGGGACGGCCCAGGGTGCTCCCGCCGGGGGGACCACCACGCTCTCCTCAAAGGGCTCTGAAGGCGTCTGGGGAGTGTCACGCCCACCCCGGGAAGCTTGGGATCAGCTGCACATTGCAACCTCTAATTTATCTCTTTTGGCAGAAATCAGAATCTAATAATTCTCATCATTTAAGAGGAAGAGGTGAAGGGAAAGAGGCCAGATGCTGTCTTTTCTGCAGTAAGCCTCTCCCCTTTGTCCTAAGACTCAAAGCCTCTCCACTGAAAGGCTTCTTGGTTTTGGCCAGGACACTGCCTGGCCATCTGGCCCATGGCCGGCCATGCTGTCCTGTGCTGGACCGAGGGAACTCCGGAAGCCTCAGACTTCCTGCGTTCTCCATCCTGTCGATAAAAGTAAACCATCGTCCATCTTGCGGAGCTGGGACAGACGTCAAAGAACTCGGGCTGGGCCAGGAATGCTCCCCACTATCAAAATGCTGGACTCCCATCTTTCCTCTGCTGCCTGACTCCGGGAAAGCTGGAAAGTAATGTGGTGGCCACAGGGGCAGTGCGGATGACTGTCCGCCACTCCCCACGCCCAGCTCCCTGCCAGCCGAGGGGCAAAAGAGGCCCTGGGAACCGGGAGCGAGTCTTGTCTCCTCTGTGACTCAGCTTCTCAACGAGGAGTAACAACCCCTAACACCCAAGGGTGCACAGGAACTACATCCGCCTGGCGACGGTCATCTTTTTAGAGCCATTTGTTCTGAAAGGCCCAAGAATATTCAAGTGATTCATTCAGCTTGAAACCATTCTGTGACGGAACACTATGCAGCCCCCAAAAAGACACTGCTGTAGAGAATATGTGAAGGGTTAAGAAAGGTTGGTGATGTGGTACTGAGTGAAAAACTGTGACCTCAAACTGTATCTGTGCTATAGTTCCAATTTTGGCAGCAGGGTGGGCGTACTGTGGATTGAACCCAGGACATTTAGACTGAGCTGCATCCCCAGTGTTTTTTGTTTTATTTTGGGTCAGGGTCTTTCTAAGTTGCCCAAACTTGGCTTGAACCTGTGATCCTCCTGCCTCAGCCTCCCAGAAGTCTCAACTCACATTTTTAAAAACTTTTTTTAATGCCAAAAGACAGAAAATATGTCCAATATCCTGCACTACAGGAGATATTTTTCCTATGATTGTTTTTCTTTTCTCAGATTTTTAACAATGAGAATATACTATTTTTATAATAAAAGAAACTTGTTTTTCAAACTCTGAGCCCCAGACCCCAGGAAGACCTCTGCAGACGGTAACTGGCTCGATTCGTGGCACAGCACAGGCCCTGCCCTGGGTGGCTGTGGGAGTACTCGAGGCTCCAGCCCGCCTCCATGATGAGGTAAAAGATGAGAGGCACCAGCCTCTTCAATAGGCTTTCAGGGCCAGGCTTAGTGGCACACACTTGTAACCCCAGCCCTCAGGAGGCTGAGGCAGGATGATTACTGTGAGTTCGAGGCCATCCTGGTTTACATAGCAAGACTGTCTCAAAAAATCAAAAACCAAAATAAATAAATAAAAAGTGCTGCTTCATTGCTTGATGCCAGCCCCACTGTCACACTACAAAAGTCAACTGCTCGACTTGCAGCAGGAGACAACGCTCCACCGAGAGCACCCGGAGCCGGGTGAGGGACTCACACCCAGGCCAGGTGACTGCTAGCATATTGTTCCCCTCCCAGTCACAGATTCTGGGGAGTAAGAACACTTAGACTGGGACCCGTAGCTCCCTGGATGCCCACGTGTGAAGAGGGGCATAGGAAGTGTTCCTTGGAACCACTCAGCGGTGCCCTTCTGCTTTTACCTGACGTTTCCTGTGTGCTGAGCAGGTGCCAGCCCAAGAACAGCCCCGCACGCCCCACCTCAACACTCACCCATCGCACAGTGAGGTCAGAAAGCCCGCGATGCCCTGACAGCCCAGGCACTGGGGGGCCAGAGAGCTCCAGACCCAGAGTGGCCAGACTCTGCCGCGGGCAGGCTCCTCTGATTGCTGTGCTCCACCCCGGGGACGTAGGAGCTGTCACCCCAGCAGACCGGCTACACCCACCCACAGGGGCTACATGGGACTCTCCCACCAGGGCCGGAGGTCAGGGCTGGTCCCGGGAGCTCCCCAATCAGCACCGCTCTGGGCCTGAGCCAGCCCACCCAGATCTGGGTGACAGCCACCTTCGACACCTGCGGGGCAGGGGCAGCACAGCCCTGGGCTGCGGGAAGTGGAGACTTTCCCACGGGTGTGGCCAACAGGTGACAGTCAGATTTGACCAGGCCAGCTTGGATCCCCAGACCTGCTGCCGCGGCCCTGCAAGCCCTGCTCCACCGGTGGGTACGGAGTGTGCTTCCCGGCACCTGAGCCAGCCACGGCTCCAAAGACAGCCAAGACTGCAGTGGTCACCGTAGGTCTCCCCAGAGACCTGGGACTCCGACACTGCAAGAAACAGGAAACTATGCTTCCAGGCAGCCGGGGCAGGGCAGTGAACCGAAGTGAAATAGGAACTTGAGAAAAGGGCGTGCAGGCCCCTTCCTAACCAGGCTGACACCCCGGGTGAGTGTGGGTGCGTGTGTGCGCGCGAACGTCCACACACAATGCTTCCCATCACTGGCTGGAACCCCCAAAGGTAAAGAGGCAACAGCATCAAGAGCCTGTACAGCATTCACTGAATGAAGGTCCGCTGTGCCTTTTTGACATCCCTACATTTTGTACATTCAATTTGTGAAATAATTG